ATTCTGAACAAGAGAGTCACCCATGCATTTTGTGCATTGGCATCCTCCATAGCCCAAACACCAATTATCCCCAGGTGAAGGTCAGCATTGTGCACCCACAGTGCAGGTTCATTTTACCAGAGTAATATTTTACTGAGTGCTGTATCTGAGCTTTTGTGATGAGCTCCCTCTTCTAGGGAGAAAGACGTTTGGTCTGTAAATCAGAAATGACATTTTATAACAGTGCTGTGAGATAGGGAAGGGAAGAGAGGGAAATGGAGCTGAACTCTACATTATAGAGGGACTGTAGTTTCTTATTACAGCCCCAGTAACCCTGATCTACAATTCTTTGCCAATGAATGTCAGCTCTGATGCCCACAGGGCTTTTTATGAAGGTAAGGACAAGGTTGCCTTAATGCTTTGGGTTGGAGGAGGGCTTGTTTTTGTTTTTATTGTTGATCTGGAAGAGGTGAGGGAAATAGTTTTATTCTTGTTTGTTCTTTGTGTCATGTCCAGGTGGCATTCCCAGTCAGTTCATGACAGGAATTTATAAACCAATATTTTTACTAATCTGCAGACTTTGTAGTTCCACAAGATGGTGCTTACAATTCAAATCAAAATGGAAGTATTTCTCCTCCTCTTCTCTGCTGTTAAATCTGAAATGAGATGCATTGTTACTGTAGAGACTACTTGCATGCTCCAAACTGCATCATATTTGTAATATGTATGTAATAAATCCAATTGAATTTGAAGCACAGGTATTAAAGAATATTAATAAAGTCCAGTTTCTGATACATTCATTTACCCTTTACATGGTATCTGTCACTTTAATTTCTACAGTCAAATAATTTATGATGCCTGATAATTAAAAATGAAGTTCCTTAATAAATTATGTTGAGCTTGGGTCAAATTTTGAATTCAGATTCAGAAGTGCCATGTCCTAACTCTGAGCAGGAGTGGAACATGTGCAAATCTAAGCAGTCTTTCATTATTAATGGGGAAAAAGATGGGTTTTACTTAGTGGTTATAGTGCTTGGAGTCTCTGGAGCATGTTACTTACATTTTCCTCTTTGCTAAAGTCAGTAAAATCCAGTTGATGAGGTCCATGGCTTCCTTTTGTTTTACATTCAGGATCACGCCATTCTCTGGGGTTTTCAGCAGCCATCTGCATGTTCAAATGTGTTGGACTGAGGAATGTTTTTATGAGTATCTAAAAAACACAAATTCTATGTGTGTGTGTGCAGAGTATTGCTTGTCTAAACATGGAAATAAGTCTTGGAAAAGATCTGTCCCATTTCTTACCATTACAAAAGCATAGGTGAGTTATTGGAGATATTACTTTAGCCAGAGTTGATCAGTGTTACATTTATAATGTGCTTTACATGTATTCTAAAAAGCACATTAAAGTCTTGGCTCATCTGACATGGCCTCAGAGTAGAGGTCTTTAACCACTAGCCCAGGGAGAAAAGTTGGGAAAAGTCAAAAAACTTACGGAGTCTGGGATTATTCACAGTAGATACAGGATTAATGGTTTGTCCTGGCAGTTCATGGAAGATAATTACATTTCAGTTAGCAAATCCAGCATGCTATTTGGATGCATTAATAATTTTGGAGAAAGCTCAGGGTTGCAACATGAGATACTGAATACTAAATTTATGTTAAATACCAGTGCCTGCTGCGGGGGAGAGAATGAGGAGGTGCCTTCTCTGTGTTATTAGTGAAGTTTTAATTGTTCATGTCTTGTTCAGAAGTGAAAGGGTTTTATGAAAGCTCTTGTCTGTGCAGAGTGCAAGATGCCCTCCTCCCTCTGATGGCTCCTCTTGAATCCACAGCACAGCAAGCCAGGGATGCTGTTCAGTGAGGCACCAGCTCCTCTGGCTGCTTCTCTATAGAGTTTTTATTTTAGGCTAATAGGTAACTAAGGGAAAATGCCAGCTTATTGGGTTGTTAATTGAAGTTAGGATTTACAAATAGGATTTTCATCAATCAAAAAAGGCATAGCTGTAATGGTAAAATATCTGTAAGATAGATTTACAATGGAGGATAGCATTCAACACCCTAAAAATAGCAGCTGCTGCCTCCTCCATTATGCAGTGTGAACACCAGCTAGTTTGTCCTGCCAAGGGACTGCTTTTTCATGAGGCATCATGGAGATAATATAGATATAAGAAATACTACTGCTATACAGTAATTTTAGAAGCCCTTTATAAGCTATTAACATCAAATAAAAAAAAAAAAAAACAGTTCACAGAGAGAAAGGAAACGTGAGAGCTAGCTGCAATAATAGCTACGGGCTTAAAGGTTCTCCCAAGGAAAAGAAATTCAGTGCTAACTAAGCAGGTTAGGAAGAAACAGATTATGGCCATGTGTGCTGTTGTAATTGACTGCATTATTCATGCAGTCATTCCAAGGTGTATTTCTGGGTCTGCTCAAAATGCTTGATGTGAAATTAAGTGACATAAGCTTCATGAACCTCTTTCACTGATGGAGCACTGAGAAAAACCCAGTATTATTCTGACCTCACGTAGTTTGAAATGCATTTGGGTAAGTGCAGCATGACTGCCAGGTATGATGGAGTGTGATGCACAGGAGATGGAGCAGTGCAAAGAGAGCTACAGAGCTCCTTTATGAAGATCTTTAATAGTTGTGGCTCTTGTATTTCTCTATGCAGATGGGAAAGGAACCCTACATTTCTGAACTAGAACTGCTTTACTGTAAACTAAAGGGTTTGTTTTGTAGCTTGAAATACCTGCTGTGTAGCTGGAAAGTATTGCACTACACCCCAGTATAACCCAGTGCCAAATGAAAGCTCAGCCTAACTTCAGGACTTACACATTTTGCAGCTTCCTCTTGCCCTCCCATCCCAAATTCCTGGGGAGCCATATGAGGATTGATGCAGTCTTTGAAGCTGCCATTTTCTGTTCTTTTGTAGTTCTAATGCAACAGCAGAAAGCATCTGTCTTAGCTGTGTCCAGCCTCTCATGTATGAGACACACAGAAGCAGTAGCAGCGCTCCAGGGACAGCATTAATATTTAGCCAAGCTGCCAGCACTCCAGTGAGAACTGAGAGATGTTTTTATACATCTGTGCTGACAAAGAGAAGTCCTGTTTGGAATGCAGTTTGCACAGCTGTCCTCATTCCCCAGCAGCATGTCAGAAATTATCTTGATGAGATCATTTTTTTGATCATTTTACTAATTTTCCTCTGTTTTAGGGAAATTCCTACATCACCCCAAATGCAGGAGAATGTTTACTCCTTCCTGGTCTAAGACATCTTGAGGTTATTACATCTGAATGCTCCCAGTGTTCTTGGAAAGCTCTGTTCACAGTGTTAGCCCTGTTGCAATAACAAAGTTGAGGCAGTATGAGTCCAGTGTTACTGCCCTACCTAATATTTGGGAAGAAAAGGTTATGGAAGTTGCTTGTGTTTGCTCCCCAGACATTTCACTGTGGAATTTCTGAGATACAATTTTGTACCAGATCAGAACACTGAACGTGTAAGAAACTGAAAATTCAGTGAGTTTATATATATTGCTTTATAAATGGTCCATGCCTTGATTCTATACCATTGGAGAGCTCAAGTGAAGGTTCAATAAGAGGAAATAATTTGAGATTTTGCTGTGACTGTGTTTAAGGGCAACAGTTCACTTCAGAATGTGTAACTCCTGGAGCTTTCCCCTTGATTCTTTGGAAATAATAGTGCCTTAGGAAAGGAAGTTGATAGGGAGGAACCTACTGACCAAAGAACTTAACTGGATTAAGTTAAAACTAGATTTTAGTCATTCTGCAGAAGAAATACAAGTAGATTTTTTAACTGGGAACAACTCCATGTAACTGTGAATGGTTACTCTGTGGCAATCTTTTGGCTATTGCTGACCAGTTTGTGTCCTAACTACTGGGCTGTGATAACACTGAGACTGGGGATAACTTTTGAGTGATGCTGAAATCAACCACAGTTACATTCATTTATTTTTTTTTGGTTTCATTGCATTGTAAACATCTTGGGTCTGCACCTTTGTAATGATTATGAGAAATTAAAATTTTAAACTTGCAGTTTTCCTGGAAAGTCATTCCAAAGTGTAATTTGAAGAAATTTTATAGTACTTTGAAATGCTGACTGATAAAGGGTGAGAGGTCCCTCAGTCCTGACAGACCTGGCAAGCAGCCCTGGGGCCCTGTGGGAGCAGCAGGTTCTCCCTTGCAGTGTCTGTGGGCAGGTCTCAGGTAGATTTTACCTGCCCAGGGACTTGTGTTCAGTGGCATCTCCCACTGTGACTGACCCTGAGTGTGGCTTGCTGCAGAGGGGCTCTGATGTCCCAATAAGTCACAGAATCATTGGAAATAGGGGTGGCTGTGGTTTCAAGAACTCCCTTTGTCTACCTTCATCCATAGTTGTCTTTGTTCTCTTCCGACCAATTTCTTACTTTTATTCTATTTTTTAAATCTTAACTCTGCATACATTAGAAATCCTGAGAAAGCTATTCTCATGTTAGTCTTATGAAAGTTTTGCCTTGTGTCTGCACACATTTTTACAGTATAATAATTTGTCCATAGTCCATTCATTGGAGTTGCAGCCTAAATGTTGTTCAAAAGCCCTGATCATAATATTGCTCCACTGAATTGTCTCCATTGCATTTGGGAATGGATTGATGGGATTAGTTGTAGTTAGTTTAGTGTTTCCATTTTTCTTTTTATTGAATACTGCCCTACTCCATCTAGAAATGAAACATAGACACTAAATGAGAGCTGTGCTCATTTCCCAGGGCACTGGACACCTTCATGTGCCTGTGCTTAGTGGATACACTTGTCTGTTGTTACTGTATTTCTCTTTTAATGGAACCTCCTTCTGTTTTCATTTGAAATGTTCCTTTAAAAAGTCCTTGAGGAATAAACAGAATCAAGGTGCATAGTCAAATATCTTAATTGTGGGTTGGGGGCTTTTTGGCCAAGGTCTTACAGACAGTCAATTTTCAGTGTCCCCAAAACTACTGCTTTTGGAACATACCACATGAAAGAATTATTTTTTTTTTTTTTTTTTTTTTTTTGTGCAGAAGTCATGTCTGAACATTTTGAAGCCATCTGGCAGTTTGGTGGCTTCATATCGTGGTTATGTTCTGAATAAGCCTAAAAGATAGACAAGAGAGAGAGGGAGTGTTTGGAAGGGCAAATTTGCCAGCAGCCACATTTCTGGTGCTTAACTTCACAATGAAATACTTTGCTGTTGTCACCATGAATCTTAATGATTAATTCTTTGCTTCTGGCAGTCATGGAATATTGAAAATTGCTAGAAATACAATCCAGACGAAGAGTGAGCCTGAGCCAACTTCCTGTCACATGGATGCCATATACAAATGGATGGATATTATTTTATATAACATTCCTCTAACACTTTCAACTAGTTGTTTTTTTTGGTTTTTTTTTTATATTCTACAAAAAATGAAAAAGTTATTTCTGAGCTGTTCATTGTTTTCCTGTGCTGTGGTGAAATAATAAGATTTGCATGTGATTTTTATGTGCCTGTCTTATGTGTTCACTCACCTGTGGAGACCAATCAACAGCCACCAATTTCACAAGAGCACCAGAATATTCTGTTAACAAATAGAAGTTCTGTATTTAGTGAAAATACTGAGATCTACTGTTCATATAGGGAATCTCTACTTTCTGGAATCCTATGCATCCGTGAGGTATCTCCGAGAAGGAGCAAGGCAGCTGCTGCACTCAATTTGTTCAAATTCCCAGTTTTCAGCAGGACTTGGAACAAGATGCATGGCATGCAACAAGCCATCTGATTAATCAGCAGAGAAATTGCAAACATAGCAATGTTTCAAGATGATATAGGAAGATCTGATACTGTGTTTTCCTTGTCTCCTTGTGCTTTCCATATATAGATCTTTGCCCTTGCTCTTCCCCTCATCTCCATGAGAGTTCATGTGAGGTTTGTAGTTTGACTAAACACAGGGCTGCCTGGAGTCTCTGCCTTTTGTTTTTTGCCTTCCTAATTGGCTTTTACTGGTTATTTTTCAAGCATGATGGTGTCAACTCAATTTGCTCAGGAGTCAATCATGTGACATCATGATGCTTATGCAAACACTTCTTCCATTTTGCAGATTTATTACCTCAGTATTTTCCAAAGGTGCTGTCCAGAGCAAATCACTGACATGGATGTCCTCTAGGGTGATCAGTGGGAGGGAAAGAAATCTTAATAAAGCCAAGGGCTTTTGGTTGGCTTCACTGAAGCTGCTTCTCCTGGTGCTTACAGGATGATATCGTTAAGTTCTGCTGCTCTTTTTAGCTCTTTATGATCTTAAGAGTGTAGAGTGGTCTTGGCAGCAAGAAGTTGCCTTGTTCAAGAAGTTACCTTGTTAAGTATTATTTTAACCTCTACAATTGTGGGATTTCTGTGATACTGTGGCAGTGGTTTTGCAAAATTGCACTTCTCCACAGAACAGGTGGAAGATGCTTTTCAATGTTGAGTCAATGTATTGATGGGGGAAGAGAAATTGCTGAAGTCTCAGTGGTGGAAGCCGTGACTGACTTATGATCCCTTTTTGTGGGTTTAGCGAACAGTTTATATTCCAGTTGGTCACAATTTTTCCTATTCCCAGGGGAAAGGGTTATGTTTTAATCCCAGGCCCACTGGAAGTTAAAGGAGCTTTAGAACTTGAGCATGAAAACTGCAGCTAATGGATGAAAATGAAACAAAAAGTGCTCTTTCAGAAAGCTGATGTGGGCCGACTGGAAACGCATATTCTACTCTGATATCTTAAGGGAACAATGCAGGGTTAAAAAAAGGAACTTGGAGCGGATTTGTGGATCAGATGCCGTGGGCATACCACTCATACCTTGCATGTATCGTTTATTTTAGTCCCTCATCCCAAGAGCCCTTTGCCTTGCTGTTGAGGATTCAGGCATACTCTGGGGAGCGCTGGGGGTGAGGTAACGGGAGCTGCCAGGGATCCTGGCAGAGTGAACACTGCAGCACCTCCGTGTGTCCTCCACAGGCTTTTGGAATCTCTGTAAAGGGCTGAATTTCACAGGTCACAGCAGGGCTGGCTTTGAGTTGTGCTGTTTGGAAGGGTTTGGAGACTTCTGAAAAATTACGGCAGGCTATCCTTTTATAGTGATTGCATTTCAGTCTTTGAGGTTTGCTCTTATGTGCTGCTAAAGAAGAATAGGATGGGACCACTGGCTTCCTGTTCACTCATTGGGAAAGCCTTTAAAGAGAAGTTATAACTATCTTCTAGCAGAAGTTACAGAATTTGCTGCTTTAAATTTTGTATGATGGCTGATATCCTTGTCAAAGTAAAGGAAAAAAGTTAACTAAAGGATTTACAGAATTGGTAGATACTTTCTATTCAAGAGCAGTAGACTACAGAGGAGCATATGGCAGATTTTTTTGGGGATGAAATGTTGGGCTTGGTGATTTCAGCTTATTTAATGTTTGGAGTATTGTTTTCCTATCCTCATTTTATTTTTTTTTTTTTTTGCATTAATGAAAGATAATGAATGCTTCTGGCTATAGAATTCTAATTCTGTGGATGTTTTGGCAAATGATCTAGCTGGCATAATTTAGATGGCAATATAGCAAACATAGTATTTACATGATGGATGGTGGTTGAGCAGACATTTAAAAAAAAAAAAGTCATACAAAATTCACGCAGATCCTTTTGGCATTTTATAACTCTGAATTTTGTTCCTGTGGCTGCACATTCTATGTGCCTACAATTTCAACAGTTACAGTATAAATGACAAAATGTAAGCAAATTTTATCTTGATAGTGGCCTTGTAAAAGCCTGTTAGGTGTGCACAGAGGTGTGCACTTGTACTCCTGTTTAAAAGTCTCATCTGGGGCACACATTAGCTATTATTTTAATGACTAGAAAATAATTTTTATATAAATAAATATCTCAGATACTACCATTTTTTTTCTCTGATGTAAGAAGTTTTTAAAACTAAGGGCCCTTCATAGGTGTAAGTTGCATGAACACACATCTGTACTGATCCTATTCACCAACCATTTGCTCTCTGAAAAGGGTTTCTGAAATACCACAGAAATAGAAATCCCATGCACTGGTGGGCTTCAGCTGACTTTTCATCTTTGTCGACTTTGTCTGAAATGTCATCCACTACAGTTTCAGAAAAAAAAAATTTCTCCTTGCAAAATCTGGACCAGTGACTCCAGATTATGGTTGTAACTATTTCAGCTTGCCTTTCCCTTTCTTGGAGAGATATTTATATTGTTTTGCATCTCATGTCAAACCATGTTTTTCTTTCTGCTGAATTCCGCCATGTGTTGCTTTGTTTGCAAGTCACTTCCAAGCCAGTAATCATAAGCACTCCATCTGGTTGGGGAGCAGTGTAGTGATAATGTAAAAGGACGTTTCCACTATTCTGTTTAAAAGAATTCTCCATCTGTACCAAATCTGCCATTTTAATGAGACTGTAAAGGGGTTTTGTTGCTTTTTTTCTGGAGGGGAGGAGGCTGATTGTTGAGACGGTTTTTGTCTCGCGTGTTCTGCTAATTACATGATTGTATCCAAGGCCCTTTCTTTTTCCTAAGCTAAGAATTACTATAGGAATTGGCAGATCATGTAATTCAGGATGCAAAGGAATAAAAGGATCCTGGAAATTTTACCCAAAATCTATAAGACATTGATTTTGCCATTAGTGTTGAGCCTTTCTGTTATTACCCTTTGTTAATAGCGTGCATTGAGAAATCATACTGAATGCTCTAAAACGGATTCACAAGGTTAAAAAAGAAAATACAGTGTCACTATGATTTATGGCAGTCAGTAATCAGAGCTGAATTGATGGATGTGAATGTGCTGAGATGATTTTTTGGTGCTGGCAGATTTAAATTTTTCTTTGTGCTTCTCTTTTGTAATTCTGATCGTTACTCTTTTAAAATTAATGGAGAGGGAATTGGACAACTGCTCTTGTGGGAATGTCACAGCCTAAACCAGGCTGGTTTTGTGGAGGTTAATAGGCAGTGGCCTGGGTCAGCCATCCACTGGTGTCATCACAGTGATGTGAACTTGAAAACCAGGAGCCAGCGACTGGAAAAGCAAAGCAGCCGTAGCAGAAGGAATGAGTGGGCAGTGTGGGGAGACCGGTGTCAGGGAGCTCCTGAGGGAGCAGCTGGCACCACACCAAGCTGGCACTGGCCACAGCCCTGGGCTGCCTGAGGAACAGGGGCACAGCCCGCCAGCAAAACAGCAGAGACCGTGTGGAATCCTTGTCCCTAAAAATGTTCTTTCTCCACTGCCAGCTTGGCTTTGGGATTGCCAGTTGTGTGTCACTGGCCTGTGCCAGGAGCTGCAGTGCAGGGGCGTGGGGCACCACCCCACAGTGGGCTTGGTCATCTGCAGGGACTCGTGACTTTCTGTAAAACTGCCCAATTTAATCCTTTCATCTACAAAAGAGACCTATTTGGCAAGTTTTAAATTTCATGTGATTCCCTTGAATGCTATTACAGAAATCATCATATTTCCTTTCTCCTTGTTCTCAAGCACCTTTTCAAAGGCAGAAGAAAGCTATTTAGGTACCTGGGCTTTATTTAGAGGCAACTTTTCTTCAGTTAGAAACAAAAATTCAGACACTGAATAGTAATCCTGTTATCTTGGCTTTCTGGAACTGGGATGTTTGCATTTATTGTTTTGAAATTACAGTTCTCAGCCCTCAAAACTAACAGTAATGCTAAATCAACATTCAGTTTTATAAATTGAATATTCAGGATACTTTGTTTTGCGTGGTGGCTTGCAGCAACAGCATTGCTGAGGTAGCTGTGGGGCGGTGATTGAAATCTCTGCTACAGGGAGCTCTGTGCAGATATGTCAGTGAGGTAAATTCATTTAAACTGGCTTGGTCATCCTTTTGTACTTATATTGAGGTAGGAGGCTCCTCCACTCTGCAGACAGCTGTTGGCTTCTCTGTATTCAGTCAGTGGCAGAAGTGGGTCTTACTCATGAATCCTATCATGTCATCAGCAAAATGTGCAGGAACACAGGTTAGTTGTTAATAGAATGTATCATCAGTGACATTAATGAGGTATTTTCAAGCCAGGTCCACCTGAGTGCATGGCTGGTGCACGAGGGCCCCAGATTTTGCACTTTCTGAATACAGAGATGTCTACATAGAGAACTGGTGTGATAACAAGTGTGATAACAACTTTGGTGTTTAAACTCAAGAGTGCAGAGCTCCTCCCTGGTGGCTGCACTCCAATTGATGCAAACATGGAGATATATTTCTAGAAAATTTAAATTATCCCAGTAGTGTTTTACATACAGCTTATTTTCTTTCATCAACACTTCTCAAATGAGACATTAGGCCTATCTTGTCTGACCAAAATATTAGGCCATGATTATTTTCCTCCTCTTCGACTTTGCTGTTCTTTTGTGCCAGAGAATATCTGTTTCCAGCTCACAGGTGTGAGGCATGATGTGTGACAGGCAAGTCACACATCATTGCAGTGCAATTCAGTGGTGAATTGAAGAGATTTCAATATTCCCTTTCTCAGAAGGTGGGCATTCTTTAAAGCCACTCCTAATGTAAGTAACTGTAGGGAAGCACAAAGAAAATTCCTGTTGCTGATGATAGCTTCCATTGAAGAGGAAGAAGTCTGCTTCTAAAATCAGGAACTTCTCTCTGGGCTTCCCTCTGAAACAAAATTATTTTGCCCTGGTGTTGCTTTTAATCTCTCTAGTTTAGGACTTGAAGTACATAGAGAACAGCCTTTTGGTTCATGAAAATAGCCTCTAGAACCAGCAACACAAACCTATCATAATTAGTCATCAGAAAATCTGAATAAATATAAAATTACCATGGAGTGGGAGGCAGGCATATGTGGTATTCAAAACACACGGAGTGTAAAATGATGTTATTGTTGCCTTTAGAAATAGTTCAAAGTAGTCTGCATTAGAAAGAGCTGATAAGCAGAATGACAAAAGCTTGTTTCATGAGTGATTCCAAGCAGCAGTGGTTTTCTGATCAGCTGATGCTGCAGCTATTTTGGGTATTCCACAGATCATGATTACATACACGGGGAATGATTGGAGGCAGCAAATATGGTAAGTGAGCCAGGAATCCTGGGACACACTCTGTTACTAACTTAACAGTCTTCTATTCACTTGTCTTTGCCATTTAAATCGCCAAGGGAAGTGTAACAAGTGACCGTGCTTAGTTCCTTAAAAAAAAAAAAAAAAAAAAAGAAAAGAAAAAAAAAAAGAAAAGCACTTCCTGAGGCTGCTATTTTTAGCAATGGTGCAGTGTCCAAAGTGTTAACTAATTGAGTCATCAGGTTTCATATCTGGCCACAGAAAATGGCAGTGGAAGAGGGAGAATGCTTTCCAGAACAAGTAAGCATTTGTGGATTCTGAAATGAGTGAAATATGCATATCGAGTTTCTTGTATTAGTGTTTTAAGTCTTTGATTGTTTGAGGCAGAGTTAGATGTAGGAAGAGGTGTGTTTTGGATTGTTTGGTGTGTTTTGTTTTCTGATGGCTGGATTATGGTATAGGCTGAGGTGGCAGTCAAGTAGAATATTGAAATTATTTGTTCTCTGTTTTGCCAGTGGCTACATTGTGTTCTGAACACTGTAGAAGACTCTGATTAAATTGCACACGCATTTTGTAACATTGTCTTCTGTGATGAGGGCCTTAAGATATTTGTAACAACTGAAGTCTTTTAGGCAATCTTGTATATTTAGAAAAAAAAGTTTAAAATCTGTGCTTTAAAGGTGTACTTTTCAAATAACACACCTCTTCTACTGACAATCCACAGGTAAATCAAACTTGCAGAGGAGCCAGCTGTCGTGCTAGTAGTGTGCTAGTAGTGACCTGTAAGGAGGCACCTGTACCACTCTTACTCCAAGAGAGTCCCAGTGACCTTCAAGGTGCTCTCTGTGGGATTTAAAAATTCAAGTGAGGAAGCTGCTGTGAAAGGACATCCCTGTACTCCATGAATTAGGTTCAGAGGGTCTTCAATAGCTTGGGTTATTCGCACCAGTTAAAAATCACAAAGCCAAAACAGTTCTCTAGGCTACTCTACCTCAGAATTAAAAAAACCAAAAAAACCCAGAGACCATGCTCCCTGGAAAGTGGATTTGTGTTTTTAGTACTGATGAGTGCCAAGCTTTGTGGAAATGTCAATTAGTGGCAGTATTTTTAGTTAGAGATACTACTGATGCCAGAACAGAGCTGTTTGCTAGCTAATTTCCATGTCAGCAATAGCTTTGTGCTCTGAAAAAAATACTGCAGTGAGTCCTTTTAAATGTATATGTTGTTTTTTTACTTGTTGTCAGCACAGGACTGGATGTTGTTCTCTGCTAAAAAGCATCTTTGAAAACTTTGGTTGTTTTCTAGTGAAGATGTTCTTTCCATAAGCTTATATCCACCAGTAGTTTCAAAATTGTGAAAACAGTTATTGGGATATTTTTTTTCTTATGGTACTTGATTAGACTCTCTATTGTTCAGTCCTGAGAATTTTATTTACTCTCTCCTGCACTTTGTAGCACAGTAGTATCCATTTTCATGGTGATAAACATCTTTGCTGATGCTTCATGTGAGCCTCAGCAGCACAGAGCCAGGCAGCCACGGTCCCTCCAGTTTCTGTGTGCAACAGTTGGGAGAGCGGAGCAGTTGGCAATGTGCTGCTCTGCAGGATGCTCTGCCCCTCTCTGCTGCACCAGAATGGTATTTATATCTTGCTTTACAGGGGTTTGTTACAAGCTGTATAGGAACTGCTATTTCTGTTCATTTGTACATTGTGTGGGGAAGGTACAGCAGCACTCAAAGTGGGGTTTAGAAGTGGAAAGGGGGCAGAGTATAAATGTGTTATGATTTTCCTTGCTGATAAGTTTTTTTTTCCTTCATGATAAGTTTTGTTTTCATCCCTTATGTAAATCTTACATAGGCTGCCCTGCATATTTGAGAGGCAAGAGAGAAACAAACTGCGTTTCACTGCATGTTTATGCTGTAGATTTGCTGTTCAGGGGTGATACTTTAACAATGTACAGTAATGGCCCATCAAATGCTAGTGGGGATTCACTGTATAGGGCTGGTATGGTTGGTTGTAGCTTATTTCTGTGAGAAACTGATCTTCACTTTAATGATAGCATTAAAAACAAGTTCTAAATTTACTCTGTTAAATATAGTAGGAGTAAAGTCTTTTCGGCCAGTTTGGAAAGTTTTAATTCACTAGTATTATACCATTATATTTGATTAAACTGTTATGTATTTTTCAAACATACTTAATTTTGATGCTAAGAGGAAGTGATAATTTTTGGATTAAAATAAATTAGCAAATCTGGTTAATATGAGGTAAAATATTAAAATAGTTCTGTTGTTTGTATTTTTGTTCAAAAAATTGAAGTCTCTCCTGAGATATTCAATTCCTCATGGTGGTTCTGCCGAATCCTGGCTCTCTAATGCACAATGACTTTGAAAACCAGAAAAGTATTAGTTCAGCTCTGTAACTGAAAAGTCACCATGTGAAAATGGCATCATCTGATCTGCAGTGATTTATCTGTATATTTGGTAACTTTCTCTCAAAATGAAACTGAACTCTGTGTTTTCTTTCTCCCTGCATTGATCTCAAAGATCCCATACAGCTAAGGTTGTTCTCACTGTCACTGTTTTCAACCTGTTTGTGTCTGTGAATGCTGGTTGTGCCCTTGCTCCAACAGATTTAGATTCCTCCTTCTGCTTTAGAACATAATCTAGTAATTAAAGTTAGGACAGGACTTCAGAATTTTAAATTTAGATTACAGATGCAGGGCTCTGGTTTTTGCTCACAGATTTTGGTGCTTGGGCTGGAAAAAGCACTTTTCCTATTGGTATCTAAGCTCATCATCAAATCCAGAACACGTGGAGTGAGGAACAAAACACTTGTAAACTAATTTACATTTGCTGTGCACCCCACTGAGTACCTTTCATCCAGACAGCCCCAACAAATGCTATGACAGAGCTTTCCATGCCACTGCACAGATTCCCAGCAGTGGATGCCAGTGTTTAATCATGGCAGAGGAGGGGAAGGGGAGTGCAGGGAGGGGTGGAGGCTGGTGGCCACCCATGCCCAGCCCCACAGCTCTGTGCAGGCCACGTCCCATGGCACCACGCCTGGGAGAAAGGGTTTTCCTCTGTGTTTCCAGCAGTGACAGGCTGCAGTGTGTGCAGCACTTGCTCTGCGTTGCCTTTGTGGTTTACAGAGGTGTGGTGGGTTACAAAATGGGCCTGGAGTTACAGGGTCAGGTCCACAAGAGCAGACTCAGGTGGAAAACGAGTTACAGCAGGTTGTGGTCAGCAGGAAATTGCAGCTCCTGTAGAAGGAGGTGGCTAAGCCAGCACAGCCTGAAGTATCCCCTGATGGGATTCCCCAGTAGGTCTCGTGCGTCTCCAGGCCAAGATTAAAATTGTTTCCTGGCAGGTTGCTCAGCTCCTGCATTGGAGGACTCTTAACTCTCCTGTGTGGAATTGCCCTCATGAGTTTGGGAAGTGCTGGGTAGGTATTTTTCCTCCTGAGCCAAAAATTACCTCAGCCAGTCTTTGGCTCTAGGAGGACGTTTGAATACTTTAGTTTCTTGGTTTCATTGATTCTTTGCCATTGTACCAGGGTCTATCTATTTCACAAGGAGGTGTCAGGACAGCTGGTTCTGTAAATGTCACAAGCTCTCCTAAAGTGAGCTGCTTTGACAGACTTTATGTGATATCTCCGACTACCCCTGCAGAACTTACTGGCAGCAAGTTTATGACTGTTTTGCAAATATTGAGATCTCTTAGTACTCAGAAGCTCTTTAGATAATTTCCACTGGCCCAGGTTCTCTGTCTGTCACATCAGCCATGTGGAGTTCACCAGACAGAAGCTCTTCAGCAGAGTGTTCAGGTGTGTGAAGGGAAGAGGTTCTTTGCTGCTGATAGGGCTCATCATCCTTGCTATGAAAACCTGTGCACTGGCACTCACAAACTAATAAATGTTTGTAATTCTTGTAAGAATACTAAACTCTATGCCCCCTCTCCCCGCCAAAAAACTTTGACCTCTATTAGATAGCTTTAAAACTATTCAAATTCCTTTAACACCTAAAAGGGCATAAATTGTAATTATATGTGGGGTTTGCAAAGCTTATAGTGTAAATTGGTATGTGTCTGCATGTTTGGTTTTTTTTTTTTTTTGTGAAATGGCTTGACCAGTTATCATCAAAATCTTTCTGTTTAATGATAGTTAGAATTTCAAAGTTCCAAGGCAGAATGAATTTGGTTTTAAATGAGGGTTGAATTCAAAAGCAGGCATTAAGTAGAAACTTATGAATTCATGGTACTGAAAGCTCTTAATAGATTATGTAGCTTGTCCATAGTTTCTACAGCATTTTTAGGGAAAATTTATGTGCATGACATTTCCCCTGACACTGAGTTTTCTCCATGGTATTACCACTAATTCCACCACATCTGATTGAAGCATACTTACGTAATATTTTTATAGCCAATAATATCTCTCTCACTAAAGTACATTATATTATCTAATTTAGGTTTGCATGATTACCCTCCTCCCCCCTCCCCCCCCCCCCCCAAATTATAGACAAATAAAAGCAGTTTACAAAATATTTTGACAAGAGTTGCAGAACTCTTTTCCTCTCCTTTTTGGGTCCTGATTCTAAAATGATATTCACAAAGAGATGAGGAGGTGGACTGACTGATGTTATTCATGCAGTGATCTGAAGAAAGTGATTTTAGCATGGAAGTGGCTTTAAACTTGGGCCTGAGATGTGCTGAAATTATCTCCTTGCTCTTTGGGTAGTCAGCTCCTGAGAGGAAAATAGCAGGGAAGGGATCAATGGCATCTCATCTAGCTTGACATATAAGAGAGTTATTATCTTCAGGTGAATATAAACATGAGAAGAAACCCTGGAAGCACATCCAGCCCTTCTCTGGCTCTTTGTGACTGTGGTAGCAGTTATGAAAGCCAGTGATTTATTTTTCACTTGTAAATGTATGATAGGAAAACTTAAGTGAGGGAGAGATGAGTCATTATGGATTCAGAAGTTTCTTTCCAGAATTTTTGAAATAAACTTCTAGCTGCAGCGACCTTCAGCCTGGAGAATGAATCTTGAATTTAAAATGCCAAAATCTTTTGCCTTTTAATGCATGAGATCCTTTTCATTATTTATACATGTGAGTTGATCACAAAGGGCCTGGTTCTTACACTGGTTGTCACTTTTAATGGAGTACAGTGATTCACTGGTGAAACCAGGGATTGTACCAGTCTTAGGGTCTTGAACAGGATGTGTCCCAGTTTACCATGTCATTCATCTTTTCATCCAGTGCAGTCTGATAGCTGAAAAGTCATTATTAAAGACCTTTATAGT